GAGGCGGGTTGGAGGGAGCAGTGGCAGCCTCACGAAGGGATCGAGAGGGGGTGAGGGAGGAGGAAGGGGAAGGTGTGGAGTAGGTGTTGTGGGGGAGGACGATAAGGTGGGAGAGGGTGAGATGAGGAAGCAAGGGAAGAGAGGAGGAATGCTAGGAGGGAGGAAAAGAGTGAGGGAAGGGCGATGGGAATTGGGGAGTTGGCGATGGGGGCATAGGGGGGAACCAGGTTAGGGAATCTCAGAATCCCAACCACTAGACCATTGGGATAAAAGGGCTTGTTTCAGTAGCGGGTCAGTGCGCCCATAACCCCCCAGGCAAATGTGCCTGTAACCCTTCCCTAGGATCGATCGGGGATCACCAGTGGACCTCTGACACCCCCCCGCACTGGGATGCCCGAAGTGCATACACCGGGATTCGAACCCGAGACCTTCGCTCTGATACCATCTCAGAATCCCAACCACTAGACCATTGGGATAAAGGGCTTGTTTCAGTAGCGGGTCAGTGCGCCCATAACCCCCCAGGCAAATGTGCCTGTAACCCTTCCCTAGGATCGATCGGGGATCACCAGTGGACCTCTGACAGGGAAGAGGTCGGGGGAGAGGCTTGGGGAGAGGCTGGGGAGAGGCTGGGGAGAGGCTGGGGGAGAGGTGAAGTGGTGAGTGGGTGAGGGGAGGAGGGACGGAGTGAGGTGAGGGAGAGAGTGAGGTGAGGGAGGGAGGTTGAGCAGCAAGGGAATAGAATAACAGGGCGGACAGACTGAGATTGGTGAGGATTGGGAGGGATGCTGCTGGTACCGTAATCCCCCGTATATAGGACCCCCCCCAGTTGTAGACCCCCGGGTCTATAATATGGACCCGGGTACTCTATTCGAGTACATCTGAGTTATACCCCCAAAATGGCCCCTAACATTATAAGACCCCCCACATCCTAGAGAAGTGTGGATTTTACAAACAGCCCGCACGAAGCGTGCATGGGGTGTGAAGGCCGAGGCCATCAAACGGTGCCCTGCTCTGTCGTGTGAACACCAAGTGGTGTTGGTGGCCAATGGGAGTAGGCTCCCAACTAGGGTTTGTGATGACGTGGGTTCGGCCCGTGTGGAGACCAATTCGAGTTTTTTTGGGAGGAGCTAAAAACGGAGCAACTCCAAATCACTTCTTTGAGCTCCAAAACTACATTCTTATAAATGTCAATATGAACAGACCCGGGTCTTCTAAAAAGTATACCATATAATTATACCCCCCAGCCTTTTTAGGGGTGATTATCATAATATCCTAGGGTCTTGTATACACGGGGATTATGGGTAAGCTTGGTAAGGATAGGGCTGCAGCCTGCTGTTTGCACGGGAAAGGGATGGCTCGGAGTGTACGTGCCTGTACTACCGTATTTCGTCCCTGTCAATACTCACCATTCATGCCATGCTACTTCTCTTACGGTAGGTAAACCGATTATCAGTGAATTGGACATGGCCTACCAGTGAAATGTTTTAGTAGGCTACTAATGCATTATTCATTGCACAAGTGGCTCAGAATGTACACAAGTGACTGAGCGGTCAGGTCTCAGGTGCCACAGGTGGCTCTTGCACCCTCCAGCACACCACACAAGTGGTGACAGTGACACAACACACAGTGCCTCAGTGTGTCACACACACCTGCTTCAGCTGTGCCTTCCGCAAACAGCTGCAATCTGGCGCCCCACACACACAAAAATTAGGCCAACTTTTTCATCCCGCAAAACATCAAACATACTGGTTGAGCATCATCAAGACCATCACCAGGAACATACACACATACATACGGTAATCTAACCACACCGAATTCAAGGAAGCTGCATAACACAAGGCTGGGCGGGCATGCCAAAACCCAACCTAATCTAAGCGGATACCAGAGAAACGCCGCCTCGCTGTCAGAACTGCGTTGATACTCGATTAGGCCCTCTCAGCTCAATTTTGTTGACTTTTATGGAAGCATAAAAGTCCCGAGGATTCTTGAACATCCCAGCAGCGAAGAACAGATTGAATGGGCTGTTAGGCATGTAAGGCGAAGCGACTGCAGTGGAAGTTGTCATGGTGCATTCCCAAGTGGTGCCCACGATTGGGACCGTGTCGTATGTGCAGGGAAGCGGAAACTCCTTCACGAGGGCCTTGGTGCTGCTCCTGTAGAATCCGAGACGTGTGATGTTTGGTGACTTGGTTGTTATGCCCGCAATGCGGAAGTTGTAGTTGAACGTTTGGAGCTTATCCGAGCTGCAAGTGGGAGCGGGCGAGGAGGGGGGGTGGGGGGCAGGGTTGGAGGGAGAGACATGCAAGTGATGTGAGAGCTGTGCTGCTACGATTGGAATCAACTCTCTCAGCTTTGAGTGCAAAGCCTCTTCTACATGCTCAATGCGTTTACTTTATAAAAGTCAATGGATTGTAGAAGTAAACGCAATACGTTTTATGTGGCACTTACACATTAGCTCGCAGAGTGCAAGAGCCAGTCAAAGCACCAGTTGTCGAGGCAAACCGGGACTTAAGTTGGTCTGCGCAACAGGAGGAAGGACCACAAACACGAATTTGGTAGACAGAAGGAACGGAACACACCGGATAAGCAATGCAAGCATGATAGAGACGGTGCAGGGGAGCACGACATGACCCATTAAGTTGACCATCATGCGTCCAAATTCGAGTTAGTGCTAGTGTGACGTACAACAACAAATGACGGAAAACGATGAAGGGTGACATACAACAAGAAAGGGTGACGTACAACAAGAAAGGGTGACATACAACAAGAAAGGGTGACGTACAACAAGAAAGGGTGACGTACAACAAGAAAGGGTGACGTACAACAAGAAAGGGTGACATACAACAAGAAATGGTGACGTACAAGAAGAAAGGGTGACACACAACAAGAAAGGGTGACGTACAGAGTGCCTCGCGGCGTATGCCGATGTCGGCGCCGACGGCGCTGCAGGACAGCGAGAGCAGCACAGCATGCGAAGAATGACGTACGGGGAATATTAGTGCCAGAGTCCCGATTTTTGCAATCATTACTGCTATTAGCTGCTATCTTATTTATCTTACTTACGGATTTGCAAAACGGAGGAGCAGACTCAGCAGCGTGAGACACGTTTCAAGCGAAACCGTGGATATTACGGGAAGTGCGAGTGAGTAGAGTGAGCAAGCAACGGTTGGACAACTACAGAGAGCAGAAAACGTGCTCACTAGCGCTCACCGCTCACAGCGGTGAGTGTATCATCAGATATATAGTAGCAACTCACCAGCGAGGACCGTTGCGATTCGCAGCGACGTATGGGCCATTGCTGCCGCTTTGAGATGTACTGGTAGCAGTAATAGTCACTAAGGAATCACGGTCCTGAGACTTGCGGGTGGTACAGCGATTTACGGCGCAGTATCTAGAAGGATAGGCCAAGAATTAAACAGAATAAGATGTTCTGCCGAAGCAAAGCCCTGCTTTATAGACAGACAGTTCAAGCGGGCTGGGTGCTCGATAGACTGAACAGCGGCACGCACACAGGATCCTCTGCACGCATCGTGGTTGCTACTTTGCTCCATTTGGCGTCGCACGCGGCGCTACTATTCAGGTAGAACTCGCAAGGTACTAGAAAGGAGGAAACGAGTTGTCAAGTTGACAGAACGATTTCCCTCGCTTTTACAAGTCAGAGGAGGCTACTGTAACACAAGCCAGTTGAGCAACTTCAGGTGCATTGAGCGTATCCTTACAGGTCTCAAGGTTGATTCTTGCCGTGCGGCTCGACGTTGCGACATGTCTAACATTTACGCCAGATTCTAACTCCAGATTCCAACGCAGCACTAGGAAATGGGAAGGGTTTAGTTCCCTGAGGTCCAGGGTGTGCTGCCGCATATCATGCTGCTGGTTCGCTTGGCAAGCACTGCCACAGCGGATGACACAAGCCGAAACCTCGAGAAAACTCTTTCAACCGTTATAATAGCATACAGAAAACATTTGCAGAGAGAGCGGCATCTTGCCACCTGCGACGTGACATCAGAAATCTCGAGTACCATCCAATGCCTGCCTTGTCACAGAACATACGCTGTTACAGGTACCCGCATGTCGCGCAAAACCATCTGACAGCTGCTGTAGTGGTTACGACAAAAAACAAATGCACAACCTTTCTTCGCAATTCACGATGCCAACCATGTACGCGTCTAAAAGTAATACTCCAGGGTTGGCATGTTACTAGTTACTGGAATCCAAGGGCACTCTTCGAATTCCGAGATGTACATCTGGATGAAACTCCCATTCAATTATCTCCCCTTACCATCCATGCATTCTGCCCTGCAATACAAGGGCTTTTTAAAGGTGAGACATGTATGACTCAATCTGTAAAGCAAGCACTCGCCTTGTATCCTTTAAGAAAACAATTGTACAATGAACGCCCTACTGAAAGTCCATCTTGGAGCTGATTTAGAGTCAGTAAAGAGGATAAAATCGATAGTAATTGGATGCAACTACAAGAAAAGACATTGATAACGACTTATCATTTGAGCAACGAGCGGGCAAGATGATCTTTTGCTGTTGCCAAGGCTTGGGAAATGGTCTGAAGTAGGGGAGAGTAGACACACAATCACATAGACCACACACCACATGTGCGTTGCATGCAGGCAAACAAACAGACACACGCAATCACACCTCACACTCATGAGGACACACATACACACACCCACACACACATACTCCCTCACTCAAACACCTCACACACAAAATAAATGGCAGATCGAGTGGGAGAGTCAAGGATGGATTATCAGCTCGGTTGGCCCATGGTGCATTGTACTTGAAACATAGAAATTTGAATGCAGCATTGCACGACCAATGCTAGCAGCACTCGGCCAAGGTGGTAGGGAGAGCAAACGAAGAAAGCAAGTGAACCCGGGCATGGAAGTCAACAACTCACAACTGACTGGTGTTGTGTTGTCTTCATGCAGTTTCAGGACATGAATCATGCACTGATATATTCCAAGTGCCATGCACTCTTCACTAACCTAACCAAGGGCCACACACTGCTCCCTCACCTGTTCGGAAAGAGGCAGGTCGGCGTCGGCTCCTCTCATGGCGACTCTGTTGGCGATCACTGTGGGCTCCGTCTCCAGAATCACCCTACCGCACACACACACACGATTGGATTCCGTAGCGCACTTGGGGTGTCAAGCAGCGCAGATGGGGTTCAGGCAGCAGCAGGGGCCGGGAGGCCGCATAAGTGGGTGTCCCGTGCCACACGGCAATGTCCGTCACAAGGAGCGGAGAGAACGAATAGGTGGGAGAATAAAGGGTGAGGGAAGCCCATTCAGTGCAGCTGAGACCATCACAGCGGGTCCCAGCACAGCCAGTCATGAACAGGGTGCAAAGTATGCCACCACCGCCACCTGCAGCTATGCGCAGGCTACCTTCATATGCACAGGCTAGCTCCATACGCACAGGTTGCTCATGCAGCACTACACTGCTGGTACTTGTGTGCAACCCAACTGTGGCCATCCACCGCAAGCGCCTACTATAGTTTGCCACCCAGTCAGGCAACCAGCCATCCACCCTATACTGGTCTGTGTGCAGTCCACACACCATAACACACGGCAGGAATCAATGACGCACATTCCCAATCCCCGACCATATCCCCCACCACATCCCCCGCCCCATCCCCCGCCCCATCCCCCGCCCCATCCCCAGGCTAGCCCCACACGCACAGGTTGCTCATGCAGCACTTCTCTGCTCGCAATCCTGCAGCCCAACTGCGGCCATCCACCGCAAGTGCCTTCTTTACCATCACATCAGGCATCCAGCCATCCACATTCCCAGTCACCCGCCACATCCCCCCCTACATTCCCCCCCACATCTCCAACACCACATCCCCCCCCCACATCCCTAGGTGTACCCAGAGCGGAACGGAGAGCAAGCGGGCACTCACCCGCCGTCGACGAGCTCGTCCAGGCATAGCAGCACGAGGTCGAGGTTCTCCAGCACCGTCTTCTTCTCCACGTTGCCCCTGCGGTCATGCCATGCATGCGGGAGACAAAGTGAGAGAAGCCATAGGGTGAGCGAGCTGGATGAGGGTGAACAGACGAGCACGAGGTCGAGGTTCTCCAGCACCGTCTTCTCCACGTTGCCCCTGCGCAGCGCACCACGCGCATGTCAGTCGGATTATTAGATTCACCAAATGTAGAAAAATATATATATATAAAAAAAAACAACAACAACAGAAATGACAAGTTGACCCTGACAGGGAAGTGTGAGGCCATGCCATGCAGGAAACGGAGTGAGTGAAGCCCAGAAAGTGAACGGGATGAGGGTGAAAAGACGAACACGCGCTGGCGCTGGTCCGGGAGTGGATCACCTGAACAACAGCCACAAGTCAACTCAGTGGTGCTGGTCCGGGAGGGGGGTCACCTGAGCAGATGCGAGACGGCTTCAAAGAAGGCGGTGAGGACGGTGGAGAGGATGAGCTCGTTCTCGTCCTCGCCGCCCGTCACGTAGAAGTGCAGATCCGCGATAAACCTGTACACCACGATGAACCCCTCGAAGATGCCGATCTCCGCTGCACGGGACACGGGGCACACGCGGAGATCAATGATCCGCACGGGAAACAAAAAGGTACGGCTGAGATGCTCAGACATTGTTTTGAGTCGACTCAAAACACATCCATACGGGGAACGATAAAGTGCGACTGAATTTTGTCAGCTTTCCGCAGCGATATTGGAGATGATGAGAGCAGCTGATCGCTAGGTCAGGATTCTTCTCATGTTATGTATCGCCGCATGCATTAGAAAGTTCGCAGCGCACTTTGCGAACGGATAGGTGAACTGCGTGTGAAGGAAAAGGAAACAAAGAGAGCCACACCTTCTGCTCTGGCATTGGCGCGTTGTGTTTTGCTCAGAAGCGACTTCTCGAAATTTAGCTTGGCTGCGAGGGTGGGCCAGTCGTCCGAATAGTACTTCACCGCTACTCGCTTCCCCTCTGAATCCAGTAGCAGGATGTTCTTTATCAATGGCGCCGACACCTGCGAGATGTCAACCCAATGTGAGGCCGGATGAGGGAAGCACACACGCGAACTGTAAAGCAGAAATTTTCCGTAAGAAGGGAGCCATTGCGGATGCTGATCGGCGTACCTCCATGGCGATGATAGCTGATAATCACGAGGCCGGACTCCGATGCGACCCACGAAAAGACTCCACTAATATACGGCACCAGGAACAAGGAATTTACCGGCGTTCTAGATAAAATATCGTAGTAAGGAGTATATCAGTGGACTTGGAGTCTGGTCTGCTCGTGCAGCATTCAGGCGAATCGGAAATGGCGAGAAGCTGAGCTTGAATCTCCACTGCCACGGATCGGAACGGTGAGACTCAGGACTTCGTGATTTGAATCTCCAGCTGAAGCATCAACCTTAATCAGAGCGGTTTGAAATGGTTGGGCACGTATACTACGCGGTGTAGGGGTCCGAAGTGCCCAGCGCGTGGATCGAAGGAAGCACAATTGCAGGAAGGGATGGGCTCTGCTGGTTGGCCTGAGCAGCTACACAGTCAATAATGCCATTCATGTATAATACGGTAAGGCCTCTATAAAAACCAGCTGCAATGGACAGATAACACCCTGAATGTGGACTTCCCACCAAACAGAAACTTTGACAACTCAGAAAGAAACTTCTGAGTCTACAAGTCACCAGACATGCCAACTTCAAGAGCACTCTATGTGTTCGACTCGTTGTACTTTGTGGCCTTCCCATCCCAGCTACTGCACTGCAACCAGAATATATATTTATGTAACGGTTATTTTGACTGCCATTTCCATCCGGCAGTTGTCCCAGTTCCATGGGAGAAAATTCCTGCTTACCATGGCATTTGACCAACAAACACCTACCACCAGACACCTACACACTAGCTGTCACACCTACCAGCCCGACATACTACTCTCATTGCCAGGCCTCAGCGCTCTACCCCCACTCCCCCTCCCACCATCCGCACCCCTCCCCACCATTTCCTTCAGCTTCGCCACCTCAGCTTCGCACAACACCAGCGCATTCCGAACCTCCGAGAACGTCGGGTCCCGGGGGGATCCGTCGCTTAGTGGAGAGTCTCTCTTAGCGGCCTGCCGCAGCAGCTGCAGGGCCTCCTGGGTTAAGCGCAGGCGGGAAACGGAGGAGAGGGGGCGCAGGCGCGAACGGTCCCTGAGGGCCAAAGCCCAGTTGAGGAGAGCTGGAGGAAGGGGGGGTGCAAGAGGAGCGATGAACGGGGGGGGAGAGGAGAGAGCTTGGGACAAGATGAGAGGCGATAACTCATGGACGGGGGATGCACGCGAGCGGCCTCTCAAGGCAAGTGCCCAGTTGAGGAGAGCTGGATGGAGGGGGATGCCAGAGGGGTGGGGGAATGGCGGTGGGAGAGAGTTGGGATAAGGCAAGGGAGACAACTAAAGGCACGAGTGGTCCCTCAGGGCCAGCCCCCAGTTAAGGGGAGCTGGGGGGAGGGGGATGCAAGGGGGATAAAAAATGGGGGTAGGAGGGAGGGAGCTTGGGATAAGGGGAGAGAAACAGCTCACAGACGGGAAATGCGAGAAAAAGGCAGGAACGAATCAAAGGGGCAAAAACCTTGCTGTTTAGTGGTGGGAGAATGAATTTGGGACGTACAGAAGAACTTCCCCTAAAATGAGAGGTGAAATGAACGGAGTACGGCAGATGTGGGAGGAGGAAGTGGGAATGAGAAGGCAGATGTGAAGGGCAAGGCACTCACCACTGGCGTGCCAGCGGTCGGTCATGGAGAGCATGGCCTCGAACTTGTCAATGGCGGCACAGAACATGCGGTCTGCTAGCGCCTTGTACTCCTGGCAAGGGGGGAAGGAGGTGGGTGGTGGGTGTGGGCGGGGGGAGATGGTGTGGCGTGACTTGTGAGATGTCTCAACTACAGAACATGCGGTCGGCCATCGCCTTGTACTCCTTGGAAAAGGAGGGAGTGGTGCCGTGGTGGGTGGTGAGCGGGATGGAACTTATGAGATGTTACGAAAACAAACCATACGGCCTTTTGAGTCGCAAGAAAATTTCCGCGATTCACGAGACGACTTTTGACACGCCTCAAAAGAGAGCGGGATGGAACTTATGAGGTGTCAGAAAAACAGATCATGCCGTCTGCTACTGCCTTTGTAGTTGTGGCAAGGGAGCGAGGGAGATCTGGAAAAGGAGATCACTTGGGTGAGGGAGAGTGGGCGAAGAAGGGAGGCTGTGCAGAGAACAAGCAATCAGCAAGTCCCTTGTACTTCCAGCCAGGCATGTCCGTGCTGTGCCCCATTCCCTCATTTTTCGCCTCTCCCTTTCCCCTCTTTTTTCTCACCTTGCTTTCCTCCCTGCACTCTCCTCTCACTTTGTTCTCCCACTCCCCCTCACCTCATTGTCCCCAGCCTCCTCAGCCACGAGTTGCCCACGATAGCACAGAGCCAGCCCCCAGTTGAAGAGCGCGCAGGCATCTCTCCTGTCCATGCTGAGAGCCTGGCGGTACTTCCTAATCCTCTGCTTTCTCATTTGACCTCTATCCTCCCCGCGACTCTCCCCCTCACCTCGTTATCCCCAGCCTCCTCAGCCACGAGTTGCCCACGGTAGCACAAAGCCAGCCCCCAGTTGAAGAGCGCGCGGGCATCTCTCCTATCCATGCTGAGCGCTTGCCGGTACTGCCGGCCGGCCTGCACCAGCAGCTGCTCGCACTCATCCGCCAGCCGATCCATCACTGCCGCTGCCTCCCTCGCCACCTGCTCCTGCTGCACACCTGCTCCCTCGCCCCTCGCCCCACCCGCTCCCCCTAGTAGACCAGCAAGCGGCGACTGGCTCCGCAGCAGCTGCACCGTCCTTAGCTTCACCTCCCCGTGAGCCAGCAGCGCGTTCCCCAGCTGCCCCACGGCCGCCACGCTCACGGGGTCCAGCTGGCACGCGCGCTCAAACAGGCCAGTGGCGCGCTCTAAGAAGGCCTCCGCCATGCCGATCTCGATGCGCCCCTGCAGCCCGCCCCGGCCCTCCTGCAGGAGGGTCTGCCCCTCGGACATGTACTGGTTGAAGCGCTCGCGCATGGAGAGTGATGTGCCGGGGTCAGATGGTGTCGTGGTTGGGGTGGTGGCGGTGGTGCTGGGGTTGTTGTTGCTGCTGCTGCTGCTGGTGGTGCTGGCGTTGCTGGCGCTGCTGCTATTAATGGCGTTGCTGCTGCTGGTGCTTCTGGGGTTGGTCGAGGGATAACCTGGCGTGGCTCTGCTGCTGTCAACCCGTGCGTTCTGCTCCGTACCCTCTACTGCCCTGGTGGGGAAAGAAGCAGCACTGTCGCCGCCAACCATGCTGGCCCCACCAGCATCACCCCTCACCCCCAGCGGTGTCTCCTGTGTTCCTCTCCGCTGCTCTCTCATCTGCTGCTGCTGCTGCTGCTGCTGCTGCTGCTGCTGCTGTTGCCGCAATGCGTTTGCCTCCCAGGCTTCCTCCTCTCCCAACACTCCCCCACCCTCTCCCCTCTCTTCATCTACCTCTCCCACTCGCCCTCCCCACTCCCTCTCAGCACCACTCTCCCCTCCAACTCCCACTGGCATCTCACTTCTCCCCTCCTCACCAGCGGTCCCCCACCCTCGCCCCCCTCTCTCGTCCTCCCCTCTCTTACCATCACTTCCCTGATAGTCACCTCCACCATACTCACCCCCACGTGCCACAGCACCGCCTCCCCCATCCTTTCTGCTTGCCCTCCTCGTCCACTGCTCGTTTCCCGCTCTCCCTCCCTCCCCTGCCTCTCTCCATCCCTCTCCACCGCCCCTCCACTGCCCCTCTCTCCCTCTCTCTTCCCTCTCCCCGCTCCTCACACCAGACTGCTCGCCTGCTCCTCTTCCCCAGACACCACCGTCCCTTCCCAATCCTCCCACCCTCCCATCCCTCCCATCCCTCCCCTCGGCATACTTACCAATCGCCTGCCCATCCCCTCTCCAAAATGGATTCTCTCCCCTTCCCCCCTGCCCTGTCACTCCCCCGCCCCTTTCCCCTCCTCCCCCCTGCCCGAACCTCTCTCTTATTTCCCCGCGCAGCTCCCCTCCTCCTTCCCTATCCCAACCCTCGTCACTATCCGCATTCCACTCGCCCTGCCCATCAGTCAGATTCCCATCCATATAGTCCCACTCCTCCCTCTCCCTTCCACTCCGCTCCCCCATTCCGCCACCTCCACCTTCTCCGCCACTTCCCTTTCCCCCACCCCCTCCTCGCTGTACAGCCCATTGTTCCCCCCTCTCTCCTCCCTTCCCTCCCCCTCTCTCACCTCCCCTCTCTCCCCCTCTTACTCCTTCCCTCTCCCCTCCCCTCCCCCCCTCTCCTTTCCCCCACTCCCCCTTGCGCCTGCCCTGCAACCCATCCCCCCAAACCATCCACTCCGCTTCCCCTCATAGCTTCTCCCCACCCACCCTCCCCCTCCCCTCCCCCGCCTCCCCCACCTCCCCATCCCCCTGACCGCTCCCCTCCCCCTCCCCTCACAGCGCTCGCCACCCCCAGCGGCAACTCCCTGCCTGTCCGCCCGCCCATACCCATCCCCCGCCCCCCGCCTCTCCCCCCGCGCCCCCTGCCGTCCGCCTCCCACCCCAGCTTCTGCTGCAGCGGCCCTCTCGCCCCCACCGCTGTGGTTTGGGGCGCCTCGACCGAAGCTCTCGCCCCCATGCCTGCTGCTTGAGGCGCTTCAAACGACACCCTCACGCCCTGCTGTTGCTCCCGCCCTGCTCCGGCTGCAGCCGTCTCAAGCCCGTTAAAACCAAGTGCATTACCCCTTCCACCATCACCGCTTCCCGCCGTTCTCCGCCCATTCCCCCTCCTATCTTCTCTCCACCTGCCTCCAAACTCCTGCTGTGGTTGCTGCTGCTGGAGCGACTGGGATGGCGGTCGCGAAGTTGAGTGTTGCACGGACGAAGCGGATGAGTTTGAGGCAGCGGGAGGATCAGCGGACTTGGCGGTCAAGGAGCCGGCAGCCGCGGCGACGATGGCGGTGCGCGCAGCCATGGATAAGGCGAGGACGCGCATGAGGTTGGTCGGATCGAGAGCAGGTGGTGATGACGTGTCATGAGGGAACAGTGACGTGGCATCGGGGGAAGAAACAGGAGGAGAAATCGACTGTCTGGGAGAGCCCCTTCCCTGAGACTGGTTTGTGTCCCCACGTGGGGATGATATGCTGGAAGGATCAGCGGAATTTGATGCCGCGAAGCGGGTACCCCACCGGCCAGCGTCTGCATTATCATTCACCAGAGCATCCGCGGAATCGCTGCCTTTATAGTCGCTTGATCTCGCCCAGTCGTCACCATTTGGTCCGGCCCATCGTCCATTCCACCCCTCCGCTGCTCGCCGAATTATCAATCGCCGTTGCCTCGACGGTGTTGTCTCGCGATGCGGCAATATTGATGCGCGATGCAACGGTGTTGCTACGCGGTGTGACGGTGTTGTTACACAATGCAAGACGGATAACGACGGCAAGCGATGGCAGCCAGAACGACAGCGATTAAAACGATCGGCAATTCTCTGGGTTACCAGGCTTGAATCTGATAATAGCGGTGGCAGCAGTAGTGTATAGGCGGTTGTTTGCATGTGAACGCACTCCATTACGGACAGGCACAATGCTCGCCCGAATTACGGTTTGAAGTAGTCCGCGGTTCGTGGAAAGCGGCTAAAACGGACGGCTACAAACTTTCATGCCGGGGTAACCAGGACTAGATACCAGTCATGCTTCAGCTTTCCCCTTTTTTATGGGACTGGTGTTTCAATTCATAAGTCTGCTGTTTGTTGAGTGAAGTGCTGCTGTGGCTGTGGCTGAAGCTGATTCATGGAGAGGGATGACTGATGGAAGAAAGGGGTGGTGAGGATTTACAAGGAGTGAAAAACGTTTGAAATACAAAGAAGGGACCCTGTCGGAAAATCCGGGTGATCCTTGGGAGTTTGGCGTAGAAGTTACGGCGAGGTACACGTCACAGGGCGAAGCTGGTTACTATTGGCTGGCAAGCGGGCTTTCGTCCGACGTCACTATTGAGTCACCCGCAAAAACACGAGCCTAACTTCACATGCACAGACTTACAAAAAGTCTGGTTGGAATCATACCGTTCATACCCAGAATTTGTGACTATCGTTAACGATCGGACGGCTGTCTGCTGTCGTACCGTCAATGTCACATTCTGCCGATGTCTTCTCGCGGAAAAGCCCACAAGAGGGTGCACACCCTTCTCTATCCTCTTCTGTCCCCTCCTCGGTCCTCTATCCTATCCCCCTCTCCGCTCCTCGCACCCCTTCTCCCCAGCAATCTCCGCAGCTTTTGTCCCTCTTCCCTGCAGAACCAAGTCCTTTTCCCCTCTCCTATTCGCTCACCTCAGCAGTCGTAGGGTCAGGCAGGGACAGCCTCGTGACTTAATTCACGTCCTAGAAGCGTCCCGTAAGCAAGGTATGAGTTTAGAACAGGGCAAGTTAGTTATCGTTAGTATTTCGACTCGCCTTTTAGCTCTGAATCTGTGCTAGGTGTTGCGATTCCGTCGTCGTCTAGGTGCCTTATTTATTAACTTGACTTTATTTCAGATGGATCGGGAGAAGCTTATGAAGATGGCCACTGCCGTCCGCACCGGCGGCAAGGGCACTGTTAGGAGGTACAGTTTTACCGGTTTCTAGGGTTCAAGATCCGAAAAGCGCGGGACAGATGTAGAGTATTCGGACCGTTTTTTTTGTGAAGGCGAAAGGCTTTGACAGGGTTTTTGTATCACCAGGACTTTCTTGCGAGAATATTTGGCCTGTTTCAGTAATTTCAGCGTTAGGGTTTTCTTTCTAAACTCCATTTGTTGTTTTCTGTCAAGGCCAGACGCACATACAGTGGTTCAATAGTTAGAAACGACCGGAAGTGTTGTTAACACTTCAGCAGGCGTTGTCGTTCTGCTGCTTTTGGGTCCATTGCCGAATGACGACGTCTGCCTTTTTTTGCTGGTTCCTCACTCCTATCAGGAAGAAAAAGGCCGCTCACAAGACGACGACGACCGACGACAAGAGGCTATCAAGCACTCTGAAGCGCCTTGGTGTGAACACGATTCCTGGGATTGAGGAGGTCAACATTTTCAAAGACGACACGGTCCTCCACTTCTCCAACCCTAAGGGTACAATAACACGGCTTTTTTGCTGTCCAGCATCGTGAAGAATGCATGGTATCTGGTCGTTTCTCTTGAGCTGGTTTTATGTGCTTAATTTCAAGTTCCTCGTACTCAGTTCCAGCCACCTTTGACACTCTTGGTCCTTGCAATCTGTCCCCGTTCGTTCGATGTATCCACTTCCTTTGTCACTCTTGGTCCTTGCAATCTGTCCCCGTTCGTTCGATGTATCCACTTACAGTGCAAGCTTCCATCGGAGCAAACACATGGGTTGTCAGTGGCGTCCCTCGGGAGAAGAGTAAGTTGCACGTTCTCCTTTCATGCAATTCCTGCCGTTGTTTTCCGTCTTTTTTGGACACGCACATTGCTTCACATTGCTTCCGCGGGCCTTACGGATGTGGCTGCAATGTCTGGTTCTTCTGTTTTGCTTTCAGATCTCCAAGAATTGCTGCCTGGCATTATCAACCAGCTTGGTAAGTGGAGGTTGACCTTTAGTAAATGTGATTGCGCATTGGAATGAATTTCAGGGTGTACATGGGTTAGTTGGCACACACAGGATGACCCGCGTCATTCTCTCTCGCTTCTGCATTATAGTCGTGCTCTTTGTTCACAACCCACTCCTCTCCCCCTCCTCCCCTCCCCCTACCCTCCTCCCGCTCCCCTTCCCTGCTTCCCCCTCCCCCTCCCACTCTTCCTGTTTTTCAGGCCCTGATAACTTGGCCGGACTGAAGAAGATTGCTCAGGAGTATCAGAAGGCAGGTGAGGCTGCCGCTGCTGCTGGGGCCGCTGCTGAGGATGATGACGAGGTGCCAGAGCTTGTTGAGGGGGAGAACTTTGAGGATACTTCCAAAAAGGAGCCAGCAGCTGCAGATGCTTGATTGGGTTCACACACAAGTGGGTTCAGGCGCGGCGTGGCTTGCAAGTCGACAAGTTTAGCTCCTGGAGTTTTGAGAGGGATGGCGCTTAGAAGATGTGGCTTGGTGGGAGAACCTGCTCACCATACAGTATGGGATAGCTGGACGATGCTGTTAGCTGACTCCAGTTCATTTCGTCAGTATTGCAGCTGGTTCACTCAACAATCACGTGTAGAAAGAGGGACTGGTCATTCGTATAGGACTGTCCTAGTGGGTTTATTTTTTGTTGATCTACGCCCAATGTGTCTTCTGTCCCATGAAAGTCTATTGGAGAAAGCACACTCATCAGCCTTGAAGTCGAATATTTCTTGAATCATGGTTGTTTTACCAGTATCAGCCATGCTTGAGAGGGTTGTCAATAATCTTGCAAGAGTGAGATGTCCTAGTGTAAATTTCTCTGTACACTGTAGAGAAACACCATCGTAATGAAAGCTACCAAATCTAGGCTACCACCTCCACTCCGCAGCCCAGCTGGCACCTCGTTTCTAGGCATGCGGCAGCCCACCACCACTTCCACAGAAAATTTCGGCGGTGCAATTCCTCCCCCGCGCGGGGCGATGGACAGGGCGAACAGAGTTCTGCCCTGACAGTAGTGCCTTGGGGAAGGACATTCGATGTATAGTAACTACCATAGCTAGTGACAGTAGTACCTACACTTGTGGACAGTCCCTTGGGTCGAGGCACTGGACTTTATCTATCGAGCCTACGTTACGAACATTCGCTCACCTGGAACACATCACAGTGGTGCGCCGCTATTCTGTTCAGCGCGTCTCGAAAGAAAAAAACACATACCTCAACAGTAGGTATGGAGGCGCGCCGCGAAGTGGTGGCGGTGATACCCGATTCCACTCGATCCGACATCGCACTCCACAGGCATGGCGAAAACATGTACCAGTTCATGCCAAGAGCAACTTCAGAAATAGTACCTTACTATTAAAGGCAACCATGGCCAGACCGTTCTTCATCAGCTCTCGCCTTCGCCTTTCCCCTTCACTGGAGTCATTTCTGAAAACCAGCACACCGCTCACTCTAGGGACCATCCTCCACATTCGCCTCCGTTCGTTTCGGCCAGCATTTCCCTCTGCTAGTATTGAATCACCTTATAACGCGTATAATGGCTGCGGGTAAGCCATCCTTCGCACTGCCAGTGCTCGTGCTGCTGCTGGCCGCGGCGTCTCTGGCGGCGGCGCAGGTAACCAGCCCCCCCAAGGCGGAGGTGGTGGCGGAGCTGCAGGCGCTCAAGCGCGCGCTCAGGCTGCGCCCCAAGTACGCGCTCATCCGCCGCGTCGCCTCCACGCTGCTGGCTCGCCAAGGTGAGACGTTGTTTTCCCCGTCCGTTTACCGCCAAGGAGAGATACCCGTTTGACCATGTCAACGGTCCCAAGTACGCGCTCATCCGCCGCGTCGCCTCCGTGCTGCTGTCCCCCAAGACGAGACCATCCCCGTGAGAGAATTCCTCCCTGCGCGCGCGCGTGCTGGCTTTGCTGCGCCAATCAGCAGAGTCAGCGATAGCACTCGGCTTTGAGAAATTAATCTTCTCGTATTCATGCTCGACGAGTAGAGTCGTCGTGTTACCCCTCATTCCCCTTCCCATTTTTCCTCTTTCCTACTCATCATAAGCTTCTCCCCTTCCTTCCCAAATTCATTTTCCGTTCGTCGCGCAGACGATTTCCCCGAGAACTTCGATTTCAGCGACGTGGTGAACAAGACGCTGCTGCTGCCCACCAACGGCGCCATCGTGGGCGCGGGCGTGCGCAAGCTGCCCACCAACGAGGACGACGGCGCGCAGTACGAGGACCTCGGCCTCATGAACGTGCTTGACGGGTACCTCACTATCGAGGATATCAAGGCCGGCGCGATTCTCAAGACGATGCACGACGACAGGGTTCTGGCGGTGAAGGAGACGCGCGGGGCGGTGATCGCGCTGGGGCAGGAGGGGCAGAAGCGGCGCCAGTGGTCGGTGGTGGTGGATGCGACGCTGTTCAAGGGCAAGTTCGTCGTCGCGCACGGCGTCAACCGCATGCAGCAGCCGTAGAACGCGCGCGCGGTTTCGGCGCGCGCTCCGAGGTGGCTTTTTTAGTCGAGTCGAAAGCCACTACGCGCGCGCGCACCTTCGGCCGGTGAAGGAAAAACAAACGTTCTGATTCGCTGCTGATGTGTCGGATGTCGTCTTCTGACGTCCGGACAAGAGGCGTGGGTCTGGTGCGGTTGCTGTTTCCTCCCGCGCATGTCTCAACGAATGCTTTCGTTTTAAGACGGGTGTTTCTTCCTATCCTAGGTTGTCATCTCGCCAGCCATTTCACACCACTTGCTGCGGCTCCTTACTTAATGTCTCCGTGCGCCTGCCATGCCAGAGCCGCGTCTGCGCTTGCTGGTTGTGACCATGCTTGTTGCGACCAGCAAGCGGAGACGTAGTACTGGTGTGCAGAAGGGCAGATCTTGGGTATTTGTCCGCACTATTGTGTGACCTGCTCGTGTGGATCGTGTGTGCTTGTACGCTTTTAATATTTATAAGAATCATTGCATAATCTTCCACACGGGTCGAAGAGGTACCCAAGGAAATGTGCTGCTGCAAGGTTTATACTGGTGTAAGCCACAATTATATTGTTAAGAAAATAACGATTGTTTTGATAAGTGTTTACGCAATACATGCTTGCGGGAGAAAGATGTCACTGCCTGCTTATTTCCGCGCTTGATACTGCAAACTATGAGAGGGTGGAATATAACTAGAGCGCCCCCCTGGTCCATTGCAGCGCACTCCTCACTCCTCGTCACGGTCTGGCGGCAGCCCACATGGCAGCAGCATGCGCTGTGATGTGGGGGCGAGGAGATGAATGGAGGAGTGGATGTGGAGGAGTGGACAAAAGGATGAGTGGAGTGGAGTGCAGGGGACAGGGAAGGGAATCGGTAAGTAAGGAAACTGAGCTGGACATACCTACGGAACAGACACAAAGAGAGAAACTAAGCCTTCTAAGTCGACTCAAAAAGCACTGGGAAAGGAAAGGGCATTAGTGAGAGAGAAAAGGGAATTGGACAAATGGAACAAACACCTCAAAGAGAGGATGGGCGTAGGAATTAATAATTTCCAGACAACCTTTAGCATGGAGCTACCATGCCATGCCCTGCTATGCTTTGCAATGCTATGCTATGCTATGCAGTCGGCTCTTATGTGAATGCATTAACTATACAAGCCGAAGGGTATGTCCACTAATTGTATATGCACTCATGGGATGTGACTTTAATACATTCTCACAAGTGCCTAAAACGAAGCTATCTCATGAGGGCCATGCCATCATGCCACCATGCCATCATGCCACCATGCCACCATGCCACCATACCATCATGTCACAATGGCAGCATGCCATGCGACGGCACCAGCCCCCATCCCTGATAACCTGCATGAAGTTGTGTCGCTGGCGCCTAATGAAGTTGTGACACAGCACCGCCTACAGCACCGCCTACAGCACCGGCTACAGCACCGCCTACAGCACCGCCTACAGCACCTCCCACAGCACCTCCCACAGCACCGCCTACAGCACCGCCTACAGCACCGCCTACAGCACCGCCTACAGCACCGCCTACAGCACCGCCTACAGCACCGCCTACAGCACCTCCCACAGCACCTCCCACAGCACCTCCCACAGCACCGCCTACAGCACCGGAGCACCGGCTACAGCACAGGCTACAGCACCGGCTACAGCACCGGCTACAGCACCGGCTACAGCACCGGCTACAGCACCGGCTACAGCACCGGCTACAGCACCGGCTACAGCACCGGCTACAGCACCGGCTACAGCACCGGCTACAGCGCCGGCTACAGCACCGGCTACAGCACCTCCCACAGCACCTACCACAGCACCAACCACAGCGCCAACCACAGCATCCCTTACAACACCTGCATGAGGTTGATTGTAGTGGCCGAAACGAATTCAACAATCTCACCAACAGCACCACCTTACAGCACATGCCACAACACCCCTCCCTGGTCGGGCTTATGAGTCGACTCAAAGTGAACACATGCCACAGCATCCCTCTCATCACCTGCATCAAGTTGCAGGTGCTCGCTCGCTTGCGACTGATTCTACAATGTCAACAACAGCAGCTGTGAAGTGAGAGCACCAACCAGCCACGTCATCCCCCTTATCACCTGCATGGAGTTGTAGCGCTCACATGCCACCATGCTACAGTGTCAACTACACGCACCTGCTACAACCCACCACTCCCCCCTCCCGCCCCCCAACAAACCAATCACCTGCATGAAGTTGTATCGCTCGCGGCCGATGCTCTCATTCTCCGCCACGGCAAAGAAGGCCAGCAGCGGGTGGTGCCCCACGTAGGAGGCGTAGCTGTCCCTGTGGATGTTCACCGCCCACTCGCTGGGGGAAGGGGGGAAGGGGTTGAGGGAGAGAGGAAACATCGGCACAGTGAGAGAGGGGAAACATAGGCACAGTGAGAGAGAGGAAACATAGGCACAGTGAGAGAGGGGAAACATAGGCACAGTGAGAGAGAGGAAACATCGGCACAGTGAGAGAGGGGAAACATCGGCACAGTGAGAGAGGGGAAACATCGGCACAGTGAGAGGGGAAATATCGGCACAGTGAGAGAGGGGAAACATCGGCACAGTGAGAGAGAGGAAACATCGGCACAGTGAGAGAGGGGAAACATCGGCACAGTGAGAGAGAGGAAACATCGGCACAGTGAGAGAGGGGAAACATCGGCACAGTGAGAGAGAGGAAACATCGGCACAGTGAGAGAGGGGAAACATAGGCACAGTGAGAGAGGGGAAACATCGGCACAGTGAGAGAGAGGAAACATCGGCACAGTGAGAGAGGGGAAACATAGGCACAGTGAGAGAGGGGAAACATCGGCACAGTGAGAGAGGGGAAACATAGGCACAGTGAGAGAGGGGAAACATCGGCACAGTGAGAGAGAGGAAACATCGGCACAGTGAGAGAGGGGAAACATAGGCACAGTGAGAGGGGAAATATCGGCACAGTGAGAGAGGGGAAACATCGGCACAGTGAGAGAGAGGAAACATCGGCACAGTGAGAGAGGGGAAACATAGGCACAGTGAGAGAGGGGAAACATCGGCACAGTGAGAGAGGGGAAACATCGGCACAGTGAGAGGGGAAATATCGGCACAGTGAGAGAGGGGAAACATCGGCACAGTGAGAGAGAGGAAACATCGGCACAGTGAGAGAGGGGAAACATAGGCACAGTGAGAGAGGGGAAACATCGGCACAGTGAGAGAGGGGAAACATCGGCACAGTGAGAGAGGGGAAACATAGGCACAGTGAGAGAGAGGAAACATCGGCACAGTGAGAGAGAGGAAACATCGGCACAGTGAGAGAGAGGAAACATCGGCACAGTGAGAGAGGGGAAACATAGGCACAGTGAGAGAGGGGAAACATCGGCACAGTGAGAGAGGGGAAACATCGGCACAGTGAGAGAGAGGAAACATCGGCACAGTGAGAGAGAGGAAACATCGGCACAGTGAGAGAGGGGAAACATAGGCACAGTGAGAGAGGGGAAACATAGGCACAGTGAGAGAGGGGAAACATCGGCACAGTGAGAGAGGGGAAACATCGGCACAGTGAGAGAGGGGAAACATCGGCACAGTGAGAGAGAGGAAACATCGGCACAGTGAGAGAGGGGAAACATAGGCACAGTGAGAGAGGGGAAACATCGGCACAGTGAGAGAGGGGAAACATCGGCTCAGTGAGAGAGGGGAAACATCGGCACAGTGAGAGAGAGGAAACATCGGCACAGTGAGAGAGGGGAAACATCGGCACAGTGAGAGAGAGGAAACATCGGCACAGTGAGAGAGGGGAAACATCGGCACAGTGAGAGAGGGGAAACATCGGCACAGTGAGAGAGAGGAAACATCGGCACAGTGAGAGAGGGGAAACATCGGCACAGTGAGAGAGAGGAAACATCGGCACAGTGAGAGAGGGGAAACATAGGCACAGTGAGAGAGAGGAAACATCGGCACAGTGAGAGAGAGGAAACATCGGCACAGTGAGAGAGGGGAAACATCGGCACAGTGAGAGAGGGGAAACATCGGCACAGTGAGAGAGAGGAAACATCGGCACAGTGAGAGAGAGGAAACATCGGCACAGTGAGAGAGGGGAAACATAGGCACAGTGAGAGGCGAAGACGGCCAGCAGCGGGTGATGTGGTGCCCCACATAGGATGCATCGCTGTCCCTGTGGATTGTGTTCACCGCCCACTCGCTGCATGGCAGGGGAAGAAAAGGGAGGGAGTGGGGAAGGGCGAGGGGAGGGGAGGGGAGGGGGCGGAACAGTGAGAGGGAGAGGCGAAGAAGGCCCGCCGCGGATGGTGGGTGGCCCACAGAGGAGGCATAGCTGTCCCATCTGTCCCTGTGGATGCTGTTCACCGCCCCCTCGCTGCATGCACAGGGGTGAGAGCTGGGAGGGAAAGGGAAAGGGAGAGGGGATGGGAAGGGAGGGGGAGAGGAGGGCGACGGGAAGGGGCGGATAGGCAGAGAGTGAGAGGCGAAGATGGGCAACAGCGGATGGTGGTGGCCCACATAGGGAGCATAGCTGTACCGGTGGATGTTCACTGCCCACTCGCTGCATTGACGAGGGGACAGGGGAGAGAGAAAGGAGGATGAAGGGTCGATTGTTGGGAGGATGAAACGCCAGCAGCGGGTGGTGGCCCGCATAGGGGGCATGGCTGTCCCGGTGGATGTACAGGGGTGGGATCTACGAGTAAGTGGGAACGGGGCAGGGGATGGGAAAGGGATGGGGGGAGATAGGCAGAGAGCGAGAGGAGAGAAGGCCAGCAGCGGGTGAAGTGGTACCCCACATATGATGCATAGCTGTCCCTGTGGATGCTCACTGCCAAAAAGCTGGGGGGATGGGGAGAGAGGGAAGAGATAGGGAAAGGGGAAAGGAAGGCCAAGGCGGCGTGAGAGGAACACACAGCTAGCAGCTGGTGGCATGGTGCCCTGCCCGCTATGTGCCCCACATAGGATGCATAGCAGTCCCTGTGAATGCTCACTGCCCACTCGCTGGGGCAACAAGTGAGAAGGGGGAGGGACCGGAGGACGGAGAGCAGGAGAAAGAGGCGGAGGGCATCAGGGGCGAGAGAAGCCAGATTGGTTGGCAGTTAATGGCGCCCGCAGGGTTTGCCGTCACAAAGCTGGCAGCACAGGGTTTGCCGTCCCTGTGGATGCTCTCTGCGCACTCGTTGCATGCCACGGGAAGACAAGCAGGCGGAGAGGCATGGCTCTGCTAGTTGTAGCCCACTCCATGCCTCCTGCTCTCTGCTGCTCTCTGCTGCTCTCTGCTGCTCTCTGCTGCTCTCTGCTGCTCTCTGCTACTCTCTGTTATCCACTCGCAACTCAATGCTCGCTGCCCGCTGCTCTCTGCTCATGTTGAAACCACTGCTGCTGTCTCTTACTACTGTACGCCTGGCCTCCTCGATTAGAGGGGTGTCTCGATATAATCACATATGATATGTTGGCACTCGTTAGCAGCGCACTCACTACTTGGTGGTGTCAGCATGTCCCGTGCCCACGTATCTCGCCTGCATGTGCTCCAACTGGCTGCTGATGTTGAAGCGATCGCTCGCCTGGTGATAACCGGTGAAGGGGAAAGGAGGGGGGGAACGGAGAAGGGGAAAGGAGGGGGGGAACGGAGAAGGGGAAAGGAGGGGGGGAACGGAGAAGGGGAAAGGAGGGGGGGAACGGAGAAGGGGAAAGGAGGGGGGGAACGGGGAAGGGGAAAGGAGGGGGGGAACGGGGAAGGGGAAAGGAGGGGGGGAACGGGGAAGGGGAAAGGAGGGGGGGAACGGAGAAGGGGAAAGGAGGGGGGGAACGGAGAAGGGGAAAGGAGGGGGGCAACGGAGAAGGGGAAAGGAGGGGGGGAACGGAGAAGGGGAAAGGAGGGGGGGAACGGAGAAGGGGAAAGGAGGGGGGCAACGGAGAAGGGGAAAGGAGGGGGGGAACGGGGAAGGGGAAAGGAGGGGGGGAACGGGGAAGGGGAGGAAAAATGCGAGTGGGCAAGGCTGCATGTGCTCCAGTTGGCTGCTGATGGTGCACCGCTCGCTCGCCTGTCAATGGGGGGTGCGAAGGGAGAGTCGCAATGGCGAAGTCATGCGCGGGGAAAGTGGCGTTGGTTAAGCGCGCAATGGGACGGTGCTTTAGCTGCCTGCTCATGTTGAACCGGTCGCTCGCCTGTCAGTGGGACAAGGGTGAGGGGCGAGGGGTGAGAACAAAGGCGGAATACGGGGGAAGAGACGGTGGGTTAAGCTGCATGTGCTCCAGCTGGCTGCTCATGTTGAACCGGGTCGCTGGCCTGTTAAGGGGCGAGGGGGGAAGAGGCGGACGAGGGGGGAAGAGGCGGCGGACGAGGGGGGAAGAGGCGGACGAGGGGGGAAGAGGCGGCGGACGAGGGGGGAAGAGGCGGACGAGGGGGGAAGAGGCGGACGAGGGGGGAAGAGGCGGACGAGGGGGGAAGAGGCGGACGAGGGGGGAAGAGGCGGACGAGGGGGGAAGAGGCGGACGAAGGGGGAAGAGGCGGACGAAGGGGGAAGAGGCGGACGAGGGGGGAAGAGGCGGACGAGGGGGGAAGGAAGACGGGATGCGGTGGGCAGGGCTGCACGAGCTGGCTGCTGACGGGTGACGCGGCGAGGGTCGCGGGATGGAGAGAAAGGAAAGGGCGGAGAGGCTGAGGGAAACGCGGCGAGGGTGAGGGAGAAAGGGCGGAGCGGCTGAGGGATGCGTGAGGCACGAGGGGAGAGTTGAGTGATAGTACGAGGCATGACTACGGCAAGAGGCATGTGATTACGGCGAGCGACGCTTACAAAGGTGAATCTCATCTGATTCAGCCGATTCGAAACAAATGGGATGTGGCGCGGACAAGGTGAGTGAACGTACGGCGAGTGAACGTACGGTGAGTGAATGTACGGTGAGTTAACATACGGTGGGTAAACGTACGGCGAGTGAACATACCATGGCGAGTGAAGGAATGCGCGACGCTAATCGCACGAACGACGCTCGGTGAAGGCTCAGACACGAATTGACGAGAGTAGCTAAGTAGCGTTCCGTGCTCGTTCTCCTAGCTCGAGGTGATCTAGTAAGAAGGGAGTCGTTCTTTGTAGGATAGCCTGTACTCGTTAAGAGATACTGAATCTGAGACAATAACATGTCTATGCACAGTAATAGACTGAACATATCTTCTTATCTCACAGTAATTTCTGCACCCCAAATTCAAAATCCCCTATTGAAGCTTTCTGAATCCACATTTTCCTTGCGATCATCCATTGTGAGGTTAAATTAAAAAAAAAAACTCGATAGTTTTGCTCCAGACACGGATTTGGACAAAGTTTTGATTTGGTGTAGCATTCACGGATTGGAGTCATATTTGTACCATTAGTCGTACCACTAGTCATAGCCATGTCAAGGTGTTTCATAGGCAAGTGTTTTGAGATCATAACATGTCTAACATTTCTCGGATGTGCATACTGTTCACCGTTGAGGTGGCACCGACAAAACAAACGCAATGGTCACGAGTCCAGCGTGGTCAAACACATTCCGTTCTGCCAAGCAGCAAAGCATGCTACTGGTCCAGCAAGGCAAAACGGATGGTGCATTTGTGTTAGGGAGATTCTCGTGCACTTATCTTGAATCGTGGCTCAGGACGGTTCCGCACGGTAATATGCGGTTTTTCAGATTTATCTTTTTGAACCGTGATAAAACGAAGTTGACCGCAGTGATCGTACCGAAGTTGTGCAACCTGATGTCGCCTCACATATGATACGAGAACCAGAACCAAGCAACAAATACATTCCCGGTTTTTTCAAGGATGTCTGGCTTTGTGTCCTCTCTTTCACACAAGATCTTCCCCGCGTTGTGCCTTGTAGTCCTAGTGCGACGCTCCTTTTGTGCTTCAAAGAATATTATAGAAACCTGTAGGTAATGCATTACTGCAGGCGATTTCAAGCACGAGTTGATGAGATGGATTATGGCAAATTTCTTCCCGCGAAGGTCGTCGCGCTCATGTGGCTGACGTGTCTCGCCCAGTGTTTCCGCCTCACCGCATCTGTCGTATTCGAACCCTCTCAAGGTCCGCCGACCTCTCACACCATAGCCGATCTATTACTATCACGCTGTTTCTTTCACAAACATGAACATCGCGGAAAAAAGGCAAATGCGAAATTTGGCTCCCCGTAGGGTTTTCTATTGGAAAAGCACACAGAAAGTCACTGCCATACAAAACATTCCAGAGTCAATGTGACGGTAATGTCTCACCGACGTAGGACATATTTGTTACGAAAATTCACGCTTCAGCAGCATCCAGTGACGCGAAGATGTCAGCTGCGAACACGTTCGGGTGGCCTGGTTGGAGCCCACAAAAACGAGTCGTTTAGAGCGTTTTGAATGCGATTCTTGTGGTTGCATGTCGCCTTGAAATCCGTCTTGAAAGAGAGATCTCGCTGCCAAACGAGGCTTAAACTCTCATCGGAACCTATACCTGTGTGTCAAACAGCATGCCATCCAGTGGCTTGATGGCATCGCTGGGAGTTTTTTTGCAATGCCTGGGATTGGCGTGTTGCAATACACACTTACAGCGTGTCACCTGCAGGTTGATTTCGACATTCCACGCGGCATCATTCCCAACCCCAGGTTTCACTCCACAATCGAACTCGGCATTTCCCAAAGCGCGCAACTACTGTACATAGCCGATTGCGTGATAAGAGTTCGGTACGTTTTTTTTTCCAGATCGAGATTTTCGGGTTGTTCTCAAACAATTGTGAATGATTCGAGGTGTGACTATTCTTCATAGAGGGACTCGTCATTGTAGCATAGCACCCCACTTCACAGATTTTGAATTAACATCGCTAAAACATTGTGCTGTTACGCAAACCGAAGTTTGTTCACAACGGATCACTTCGCGACCGAAGCGGCGATACTGTAGCTCAGGGGTTACTCATTTCTTGTTACTGTTACATCCGTAACCCGTGTCACCAAGGTACAGTTCAATGTATGTTACAAAATCGAAGTTACCTTTAACTTGTAACCCTAGTTACTAGAGTACACTTAAAACCAGTAACATGTAAGATATAAATTCTAGGGCGTACAATTTTAAATGCGTTCCGGGGACCTAAATAGCGGAATATGAATATTTTCGTAATAAAACCTGTAATTATAAAAACACGCATAAATAAAAATGCAATGCATACAAAATCCATTTTCAGGATTCATCTTCAGAATCCTCGTCTACCACCTCATCTTCATCGAACTCATCCTCTGCATCCTCATCCCCCAGGACATCAGCATCCAGAGCCTCCTGGGGGATGGTCACCCAATGCGCCAAATAGATGCGCCCTATGCCTATGAAGTCACCTTCAGTCCGGCCCATGCTGTTGATATAGCGCTGCACAATGCGCGCTTGTCTGGAGATGGCGCGAGTGTCACCAGAGCGACCAAGCTGAAGCTTGTTGCAAGTGGGGTGACGTAGCTTAAAACGGACCTGAACACATTCAACAACACAACGAGCCTGTAAGACAGAACATAGAGAAGAAAATTTTGCATTACAGAGGGTTTAAGACTCACAACTGCCAGAATCAATAGGAGCTGTGCCGCATAGATCCCAAGTGGGCGGTCTGGGTCTTCCTCTGTCACAAACAGGCGCGCACACGCCATGAACGCTGGGCTGGAAAAAGGGTGGCCATTAAGCAGGTGCCACTCTATGCCCTTCAGCCCTGTGACAAGCCACAAAGCAAAGAACGGGCAATAATGACAGAGTAAGTACAGGCTGCTTTATTATGTCACTGTTTAAAAAACTCAACATTTATGTTGAGTTGCTGAAAACAAGACGAAAGAAATTTACAAAGGTAATTACGGGTAAAGACTTACTGCTGCCATACACAGCCACGTAAGCATGGCATCGGGCGGCGAAATCGTCTGGCTCCACAGCTCGGATGGTGCCATTCGGAGCACGCTTAATGGCGAACAGCCGCGCGCCCCGTACCAACCGCAAGCTCCTCCTGCAACCTCCGTAGATCTTGCCAATGCGGTTGTTGAACCGCTTCTCTGTCTTTTTGACGATGTCTTTGTCTTTCATGTGCGCCACCAGCCTCGAAGCCTCATCGCTGCCCCATGTGAAACCTGCATGTGCTGTGCGAAGTAAAAGAACGGGCGGCAGTCAGAAACATAAATAGGAGCAATAGCAGAAGAAACACGACTCGTCTGCTTACCGACTAAACGTTCAACAACATCACTCCTCTTCGGCGCCATGTTCATGTGGTCGCCGTCGAAGAGGAAATCGTTGACGGTTTCCGACATCATTCTCTGCAATAGCAACAGAAAACACCCGTCAGGGTATAAACCGGAGTGAACAGAAGACACCCATCAGTTTAAAACGAAAGCGTGTCAAAGAAACTCACCTCGAAATCTAGGCTGACAATCTTCTGCAGGAGCACAGCATCAGCGAGAGATCCGGCGATGCCAAGAGCCTTCAGGATCTGCACGTCCTTGGTCTTGCAGTCGGTCTGCAGCAACTCGACATGCTCGCGAGCAATGGCGGCCTGCGCACGAAGGCTCTGATTGACCTTGTTTGGGCGCGATTCGGTATGAAACTCATCGGCCTCTGGACTGGGATTAACGCCCGCCTGCTTCATGGTACGGGCATAGAGGGTGAGGCCTGCATGGCACGGAGGAACAGAGGTAAGTATACGGTATAGTTGGGCACACGACCAGAATGCGCGTCAAAGCTTACCACGTTGGCCGTTCCCCTGAAGCGGTTGCGCGATTACGTCCCCGAAGAGCTCGCCCTCTTCTTCCTCCTCAGCATCCGCAGTGGCAGTAGCTGCACCCACCGCGGTAGGATCACGGTCGGCATCGGCAGAAGCAGGATCGGCAGCGGCAGGAGCAGGATCGGCAGCCGCAGGAGCAAGATGGGCAGCGGCAGGAGCAGGATCGGCAGCGGCAGGCGCATGATAGGCAGCGGCATGAGCAGAAATGGCAGCGCCTGGAACAGGATCGGTAGTGGTAGTCTGTGATGCGGCGGCAGCACTAGACTTTCCCAAGACCGCAGCACGTTTGACACCGTGGGCTCGCTCGCCTTGACGGTTGGAGCCGCGCTTGCGAGATCAAGCGCCAGTCATGGCTGCGTCGAGAGTATCACCGTCTGGGAAAGAAGAACAAGGTAGTTAAAACACAGCAGTTGATACAAGGTGACCATAAAATAAAAAGCACAAACCAAAGAGAGCGCTTACCTTTGTTAGCTGGAAAAAAAGCATGATTGTCCTTGCTCTTGCGCGGAATGGAAGTCCGTAACGGTTCCGCCATCTGCATACTAGCGGGAACGCTGAATGAACGAGCACGGCCCATTATTAGCTACTGAAAGCTATAAGTACTAAATCGCTAGAGATGGAGTACCTGATGGCAACACTCCAGCAACAAAGGCTATTTATACGACAAGCTCTTAGGAGATACGCCGGGAACATCATCTCTTACCTTGCCTACGCATCGCGACGAGATACGGTGAGGGCCTGCTTGATGCCCCGATTGATGCCAATAACGATGTGTGGCGGTAACGAGGGGGATGGGTGAGGGAGATTGAAGTGGTGGAAGGAGGGTGGGGTTTGAAGTTTGAAATTTCAAACTTCAGTTTGAACTGTCGAGGGGGATCGCAGAGGGGGCGTTGAGGAGGATGAGGAGGGTGGATTGGAGGGGAACCCGAACGTGCACCACTTTGTGGGTACTGGGTGGTTTGGTGCACGTCCGGTCAACGTCCCCGCCGTGCTGCCTGCCAGGTTCGGCAGATTTACATGTA